CTTCAATTCTTGTTTACTTCAGTACTAAGTACTAGTACTTTCACAATTAGTTTGTAAAATCATATCTTAGTAAAATCTACTTTGATGAACGAATCGAAATGGGAGGGTAGACATGAAGTTTTACACATTCAAATGGGGCTGCACTAGCGCTAATGGAGCGACTGCTACGGGAAGGAACAGATCCTAGCGAAGCCGAGATTTGTGAAGCCAAACCAACCCATCGAAGACGGGCCGCCAAACATACAAATGGAGAGAAAATGACAGACAACAAGCCAACAAAGACAACATCACCAGACCAACAAACTTGGAGAACACCACAGCAACTTCAAGCGCTAACGTTGTAAGAACTGTGGAACCTCAAACTACTGTGTGTTTGTTTGCATCAGCTGAAAGGCTGCTGAAGCAAACACTACATGCAAAACTGCGGCGAAAAAGTAACATGTGTTCGTCCCAAATCTGGACGCAAGTATTGAGCTACATAAGTAATAGAACCTATGCATCTTGCTTGTTGCTGTCAACTTACCCGTTAAAGATTGAAGCGATACATGTGCCTACTATAACTTGCCATACCCTGCCAAACATGACTACACTACTGTTACACTTCATTCTGTGCTGTATAATGTTTATGCGTTACATTATCTATCATTGTCATTTCTGTGAATTCCTTAAAACATCTATTGTTAGTTTGTGTAACATTACGCAGTGCTACAATCTGCGTAAAAAGTGGGCTTCATTGCGTGTTACCTGCTAAGTCATGATGGTATTGAAAACTGTTTTATTCTGCCGTTCTTCTACAAACAGCCAGCAGAATCATGAAGATACCCGTTCTCAATACACAAGCTGCAAACTAAAGAAATGGCAGTCCTACGAAAAATCTCTTTGTAATGTATAAGCGCTTTATATCGACGAACAATGGTTGTGAAGTACGTGTTTTCGCACATCTTGTGCCACCGGATCAGTGGTAATTGGCTACTCTACAAGTAAAAGAACCGGGTCCGTGGGACTTGATCAATTATTCATAAATCGGTCTCTGCTAGAAATTTACTGGATGGCATTCAGTGACGAGCCCCCCCCCTCCATTGGTTTCAGCAGTGATGAGGATGATGATGATGATTAGATGCTTTGAATTACTACCGGTACTCCTGCACATGGTTACAGATGTTTTTTTTTCACCATACATGTTTACATGTATATTTATACTTTAAAAGACTAAGGGACTGTACGATATTTACCGGGGGGGGAGGGCCGGTCGTCTGAGGGGGGAGGGCCTAGGAAAAAAATTTTGAGCCGGGGGGAGGGCCTAGGAAAAAATATTTTAATTTGGGGGAGGGCCTAGGTAAAATTTTTTCAAAGATCCCTTTAACTCTACAACGTTTTTATACACTTTCAAAACATGATTAACGTCTGTCCCATACATTTTGTAGCGATTTGCCGGTCATTGAAATCGGCAGAATTTTACGTTCCAATAATATCCATCCCTATTATTATAATGTATTCGCCCAAATCTCCCACAGTCCTCTTCAAAATCTTGCATTTTCGCCAGAATCGGCGAAACTGGACTACACAGCCAAATTACATGGATTAAAGTCGTATCAATCGCGGCTATGGAAACGATACCGATCAAAAATGTAGGGAAGGCTTGTCGGAAGATTTTGAAAATTAATTTCCGCCGTTCAACGCACCCTTCCCAGTGATGTGCGTGCGTCGGCAAAGGTGACCCGCTGGTCCCGCCTCGCAATTCGCTCAAACTTCTCGGCGTGGATGTCGGATGTCGACGGATTAATTTGGTATTTTTTCAAACCAAGGACTATTTTAACATTTATATCTATGTCCCTCAAAAGTTAATTGAAAACAACACGTAACTTGGCAATATTGTTTCCCTGTTTGTAATAAAATTGACGCGGAAGAAGTTCGTGGACGAAAGGTAGGCTAGATTTATTTCGATTACACTGACCAAGGACATTATACACACGTCTGTGTGTGTGTGGGGGGACATGCCCCCCCCCCCGCCCAAAAGTCGGGCCTACTCGGGCTCTAGTGGCGCCTGCGGCGCGATCGCTCGCGCCTTCGGCGCTTCATGCGGGGAAAATTTTCAATCAAAATGTAGTCCTCCCCATACGAAATTTCACTCTCTATGATTCACGCCGGGGGGAGGGCCTAGGAAAAAATTTTTGAGCCGGGGGGAGGGCCTAGGAAAAAATTTTTTGACCTGGGGGGAGGGCCTAGGAAAATTTTTTTACGCTACCCCCGGACGACCGGCCCTCCCCCCCGGTAAATATCGTACAGTCCCTAAACATTAACAGTTACTTCATACCTGTAATGTGAACAAGAAATAAAAGGTTACTGGTACTGGTCAAGTCCCATCATGCAGGTTAATGCGGGTATAAAACTGCATGAACCTGTCCTACATGTACAATATGTCTTCCTGCACCTAAACTGCAATGGCCAGTTTGCAACGGGCCATCATTAAGCCATTATCTGCCATTATGTGTAATAAAATGTAATGCTACCTATATTTGTCAGATTTATTGAAGACAATATCATTTATTGGTCATTATATTCAGAAATACCCACGAACAGGGACAAAATATTGGTCTCTTTGTCTATTTAATGCCATGTGAACATTTACCTATACTGAGGTCTGTCAGGAATTGTATCAGGATGTAATGACATGTAAACTACATTGTACTTACAGTCAGGCTCCTTCGAGTTCTCCACTTCAAAGGTACATGTATACACTCTAGTGGTGCAGGTATGCAGAAAAAATTATTTCAAAGAATATAAGCCTTGCTTGTGATCAATTCAGGTACACTGACCTCTGGTACAGGATCATTCAATAGGATGTAGAGTTTTTCATGTGCACTGTCCCGAACTCCACACCATCGCGCAGCATCAAAATTAGTCCAGATTCGACCCAAACAAATGGCCAGCCACTGGCGAAGGAGATGGTGAGCATCATTCAGCTGCTCCAGGCAGATGGCAATGAGGTTACCTTGCAGACAAGCTTCCTATTGACAAAAAAAACTTATTAATAAACAGTTATGACAAGAAAAATAAACTATTTTCTTCTGTCCCTTCTTCATCACTTGACGTATAGTTTACATATATTCAAACAGAAAACATTTCATATGCTACAAGGTACATTTTGTAACAATGTTTGACAGAAATGCATATAGTAAATGCATCATACTGTTTTTCATCTTCTACATAATAGATAAAATAAGACAACAGTTACTGTAGTAAAGTTTCTTTTGTACAAAAGTGATCAAATGTGCCTCCATTCAATAAAAGAACATGGGATAGCCACTGTCTCGCATTCTGTGAACATAAAAAGAAAAAAGAGCATTATTTGTGTCTTTTTGGAACGACCCAGTATCAATGGTATACATTGTGTAGTACATGTACATTGTACAAAATGAAAAATGTACATGTGTCTGCATGTGTATGTCCAAGACTGTACACATGTCAATGGATTCGGTGACCATTTCTCTATCTGTTATAGACAAAAAACTATGATCCTGGATGCTGACCAAGGATTCATTGGTACATGTAACAAATACATGTCATGTCATGTGTTAATGTAATGAAACATCAGGCAGACTGTGATGACACCATGTCTATGTTCTACTACTCTAAACAGGAGCACATCAGTAGAAGTACATGTACTGTGCCCACATAAAATCTGTTAGTCCTATTTGTACATAGCACTGCATACATTTAGCACTTTGGTAGAACGTCTGTTTTAAGGTAGTATCCAGCATGTATTTAAAGATGACATAACATCTATAATAATTACCTTTGCCAAGAAGATTATGTTTTTGTGGCTGAGTGTGGGGGGAGACACCACAGAAAGGGTGCTCCATTAAAACATATGCAAAAACAGACCTAACTAGAGTCCGTGAAACATGTGCCTTCATCAGGCACAGTTTTTTTAAGTGTTACTTGGTATAAACGTCAAAGTTGTTATGCTTAGCAAAAGAGTTATTTTTTGTAGGTGTTTGTGTGATTGGTATGTGTGTATGCCATTTGTCAGATTGTGATCACGATAAGTTGAAATGGCTTCGACCCTATATGGCATTTGGAGGTAAATTGAAGAAATGTCATACTTGGGTTATTTGGAAGTAAGTGAACAAGGCTCAGCATACCTCGGTTCTAATACATTACTGATGCCACATACTATGAGATTTTTGTCTTTGAGCCATAGTCTGATCTGATTTTTACAGCGCAACTTGCAATTTTTAAGTTTGAGAGACAATCATATTGTTACAATCAACATGGTTCTCCTCAGTGCAGCACCCCAAGCGACATGGGGAGGGGCCAGTCATTCGCCATGTGCAGAAATACTCTGTATACCGACGATGTATCTTTGGAGTTACTTTGGGGGGGAACGTACTTCCGGGTTCAGTACAGTTGGCTTCAGCACACAGAAAACACATAAAAACGCGAGAATACTCGTTGGTCGCAGTACTAAGGATAATCAGCACAGAATTTTGTTTTTTATCTCTGAGTCTGCCTAAAAAAATGATGATGTTTTTTGTACGCATGAACGTACATGAATTCAGCATTTGCTTTACTTTTGCAATGTGCACGCTCTATGCCTTGCCCCTGCCTTCTATTTCTGGTGGCCATTCCAGTTCAACTTATGTCCGTTACAGTTCCAAACAAGCTACTAGGAGTCCCAAAAATCACACCATTTGCTCCCATCCCTAATACATTGTAGCTATCCACTATTAAAAAATCATTCACCTGATACTTGTGGAAAATTTTACATCAACTTTTAACATTACCATGCAATACCTAAAAAAAAGCTGCTAGAAGGCCTATTATCAAACTCGACCTCCATCATTCATGTCATTACCCAAACACTGAATACCATTAAAAACCGACAGCGTTTTCTCAAGTAAAGTTTTGACCTTCAAATTTGTGTCTATAACCGCTTCACACAGATTTTTGACTTAGATTGCAAAGTACTATTATCTAAAATCAACAAATGCACAAAAAGCCAGCTACAAATACATTGGGAAAAGCCAGGTGGTCTATTTCTTAACTGTATATTTAAACAACAGCTACCCACACACCAAAAATTTGTTAATGTACCGACAAATAATCAACTTATGACGTTGACTTACATGTGAATCCACACCAGGCCACAAAACGATTTAATACACAGTCTTCTTGACGAAGACAAAAATGGGCATCGTATCTCTAGTTTACAAAGTTTTGGGCAGACAAACTAACATTCATGTGGTAGCCCATTTATTAATAATTTATGTACTGTGGCTACAAGCAGTTTCGGAAAAAAGTGAACAGCTACAGCTGTGTTTCTAAGAATTGGTGTACTTTGATCCCATATTTCAGGTCAATACCAAGTTTGAAGTAGGATAACTCAAGAACCGGTTGATGGATTGTTGTAACTTTTGGTGTGTACAAATGTAGATAGGATCTAAGTTACATAATTGATGAAGAAATTCTATAAATGCGATTCATGGAATGCAGCATTTATAGAATTACTTGATTATAGGACAATCCAAACTTGTGACATACATATAAGTGTAATTAAAAGGAAGAGGAACATTGGCAGATACATTGTATTAATGTAAATTGCAACCCACTTTGCATTATCAATGAGAACATTTTTTAATTCCATACTGGTAAATGACAGGAATTTCATACTTGTGACATTTGGAAGTCAAGTGAATACAGTATGTTGTGTTGAAAAATACATTGTTTGCACCAGGCAAAATTCTGAAGCAGAACTGACCAAACATCCAACGAAAACTGAAAAATCCAGGTTTCCAACAGGCGCAGTACATGTATGTTCTGCTGACGTGTTCCATACAAGGTTGAAGCAAAAACATAGTTCCTGGACAAAATTAAAATGGAAGAAAAGATGATTATTGCAACTTAAAGCAAAACACCAGGGGGTGCGAAATATACCTCATGCATGCATATATCTAAAAATTGGATAGGATGGACTAATGCTGCAATACGTGTGGGAATCAAACATGCATGAGATGATTTGCGCTTCTGGTTGTTTTGCTTCAAGGAAGTTTTGTACATGTACCTGTCCATTGGTGTAGTCATTCACAATAACCGCAAGGACAAACCCAGCCATTGTTCTGTGCTCTGCCTGTAAAAAAAAGAATGAGGCTGATTACAAGGGACACTCTTTTTTTGCATTACAAGCGACATCATTTACAGAACACATTCTGAGTCTCGAATTATACGCTTATAAACACATTACTTGACACAAGTTATCTGGCACGTATGACCCGCTACTACGGTCACGTGTCTCTGATGTCACGTTCCAAGAGTAGACGGGTCCATTCCGTGAACAAGGTTGATGGAGTCAACCGAAAATTTGGGGTAAGCCTAATTCTGTATCTACATGTAAGTGTTGGAAGTTAAAGCTTAGTCTTTATTTCATAATGATTTGTACCAACACAGATACAAACTTTCACGCTAACACATTACCTGTACAGTAGGAATTAAAATGAAAAAAAAGAACACTACTGTCTTTAAAACTAACTTTTGCCAGCCGGTGTCATCTTTGGACACGTCCTCATTACCTCCGGGGGAGGAGATATCCTTCCGCGGAAGGGTATTAGAATGGTTTGAGGTTTTCATGTTCAATCAATCAATCAATCAATCAAATGGTTTATTCTCAACCGACTTCACAGCACCAGGTGTTCGCAGCTGTTTCTTGCGTTGTGGTGGACGGATTGTTTTGGGACTCGGTATATGTTTTGCTATTGGGCTGTAGATGATGGACCTTCTTTTGCTTTTTGTTGTATTTGTGTTTTCGGGCGTGAGAATTAAGACTTTTGGTGGCCCGCGAACACCCCTTTGTCCCTGAAAATGGTCGCGACCGTTGACCTTTGGTGTGTTTAAAGTATTACAAGTCTCGTCCACTTGCATGACCTTTCGCACAGGGGGGTGTCCGGTCTTGATACATTAATTTGAAAATATACCGAATGACCGGTTGTGAATTTATCATTCAATCGTGCGTGTGCGTAAAAGTGTCAGATTAAGGTTCACTGCTGTTAAATTGTGACCTAAAAACAGTCAAAGAGTCCCAAATTATACAGGGAGAGTATGCCAAAAATTATAATGACATGTTGTTGGTAGATATAAATGACTGATTGTAAAGGATACCCATACGAAATTTCAGATGCTTTGGATGTACATGTAATGTTAGATCTCCAGGACCCCAAGTGCACAGATTTTGTCAGAAAATGGCCCCCCAAAAAAACAATAAAACAATTTTAAAAGCCTGTATCCAAAGTTTGTATTTGCCCACTCTAGATCTACCTTCATGCCAAATTACCTTTATGTTATTTGTTGAATCCTTTTAAAAAATGGCAGAAGAAGGAGGAGGAGGAGAAAAATAAAAAACATAACACTAAACATTCTGCATCACCTCAGTCCCAGCCCTCCCACAGATCAGGCTGACACATGACAGAATACACCGTGTTGTATTCTATATTTTGAAGAATATTAAGCTTTTAGGCATGACTTTTAGGCAATTCCTAAGAATTATTGTACAAAATATAAAGTTGTGAGAAACTACTTACGGGCATGTAGGGGTCAGCAAGCACCGACAGGAAATATTTGTGTCCGTTGTCTTTCACAAGATCAGCTTGACATGACTAGAAAAGTACAACAATATGTAACCTATTTTCAAACTACAACTATTGTTAGGATTACAACAATGTATTACTCAACAACATTGTACTACACAATATGCCAAATATAAAATGCTGAATGAGAAATTTCCTCAGAAAATATTGAAAACTCAAATTGAATTTGATTATTTTTTAATTTTCTTGAGGCCACACCAATTTAATTTGATCTGTCTGACCTTTTAGCCAAATGGTTAAAGCGTCAGTGTGTGGACGTGCATGGGTTCGGCGTGGGTTTGATCCCCGGCCCGGGGGCAGGAGTGTCTTTCTGTTTGTACTTTCCTAATTCTCACATTGGTTCCCAAACAGGCCCTGGGAGTGCTGCCTGAGTGCCGCTCCAGGGATGTCGAACTTGGAAGATTCGAGGACGAATCTTGACAAGAAAAGGGGCAGTAGTGTTACAGAGGGGGGTTTATATACATGTAGGGCCCTACCAACTGATCGATCAGTCTGATGGGTCTAGACCCTTTAGCCGAATGGCTAGAGCGTATGGGTGTCAACTGGTGCCCAGGTTTGGCGTGGGTTCGATCCCAAGCCAAGGAGTATCTTTCTGTTTCTACTCTCCTAATTCTTACATTTTTTCTGACAAAAATCCGAGAACCAACAAATCAAATTGCTGTGGCCTGATCATGTTTTGATCGTTATTTTCTGGCAATAGTTAAATAATTTCAAATCAAACGCAAAAACACAAAGTGCCTTCAGAAAATAAAGCAGACATCTAACTTTGATAGCGTCACTACATGTATTTACCAGTCAAAATTATAAAGTGTGAAATTGTTCATTACTTTAAACCACTTTCACATTAACCAAAGGTGTATCAGAATGTATGATTGGTGGTGTTACAACAATGGAAATTCCATTCAAATTGTTACAGAAAACTTCTACATGTAGTTCACATGGCACATCGGCAGAACCTACTGTACCTGCGCAAAAATCGTATGCAACATCTTGAATCCTGGCTATGTATGTGAGACTTATGTGAGAGGTAGCCAAGAGTAAACTGTGCTGTGTGGTATAGAAAGGTATTGGCTTGTACACTGTATGATTTGGATTGTTAAGATTTCCCCATTCGTGTATAAATGCGCAGCATTAAGCAACTGCATTCCGGGGTGAGATGGCTGCAGTTCCGTTGACCTCAGTAGAGGGCCAAATCAATTAAATTGGTCATCATGGTGTTAGAAAACTTTTTTTGATTTCAGTTATTTTGTAGATTATACCGTATATTTCAACATATTAGTTGGCCGTGTTTCTCTAGTGCACCCTACTATAATTTTTACTGTGTCGAAGTGAGTCACCTTGGGGTCCTTAACTATAGGAATCCCCATAGGGTGAAAACTGTGTTCTGCCACCTTGATCAGTGATCAGCCCCCCACCCCCCGCTATGGTGATATCGTTATGTTGATGACATTCATACAGTACCGTTCGCACGTTCGCATTATAGTTAACCGGGTACCCGTTACTAACGAGTTAGATTTTCGTTAGTATTTGGTTAGATTTTCGTTAGTATTTGGTTAGATTTTCGTCAGAAAATCATTAGAAAATCGTCAGAAATTATTTCTAACGCGTTACCGTTTGCGTTAATGTGATAGGGTCGGATTTCATGTTTGTTTTGCGCGCCGACAAGACAATACCAATTTGCCACCTCCTGGGGCGTCCGCTAATGTGTTGCGATGTTGCCCCTTGAAAAATAACAGTACCAGAGGCAAGTGGACATGTGATTCGTAAAATAACTTTGTGGTTTATTATTTCTACCGGAAAATTATGTTGTGTAATACAATGTATGTCAACAAAGTGTAGCAGTGGGCAGACGACGTCTTGTACATTTTGTACCAGCAGCGGCCTACCGCTCTCACAGGACGTCATGGGACGTGACGAAACAAGAAATATCTGCCGTAGAAGAAATATAAATTGGTAACTCATGCCTTAAATTCACGGCGGTTTTTGGCACAAAAGAAAAATTATTATAGTAGTAGCGGCTTACTCACGGTAAAATGTACCGTCACTCCCGGCGCAAGGACTCGGTTCGCCAGCTGAGGACTTTCCACAACCATGATGATATCATACTTAATAAAGGAGTATATAATAGATCTATCATGTTGAAATGATAATTGTAATACATGGTTCTATTTAATAGCGGTAGTTTTGTTTGTTATTTTGAGGGGGAAACACGGGGGAAACTGTAAAAAATCGAGGGAACGCAAACTGAGATCGGCTCACTTCCTGGTGCATAACGCAAAAATTTCTAGACGATTGTATAAAAATGACCACTCATTTGCCGCCTACGGTAGCGTGTACATGGTAGTGCGATCATATCGTGCCAAAGTCAGTGCCAAACGTCAGAAAATCCCCGTAAAAATATAGTTGCAAAACACATTCCCGCGCACTCAGGGCCGGTCGCCCTGGCCGCAGCCGCCCCGTGATGCAGCATGCTCATTATAATATGCAAGTAGCTACGCTCTGATTGGTTCACCTTAGATGACCCGCGCTCTGATTGGCAAGAACGAAGCCGGCTGCATGCTGGGGCAGCGCGCGAAGTGCAGAGAGCTCGATCTCGAGACAGCCACATTTACGCTGGTTTCTGCCTTAATTCTACGCCTAATTAGCAACATCCTAGTGACGAAATGCGTACTCAAAAGAATTTTCGTTAAAAAATATATGTACACGTGGATTTGTGGTGCCTTTGGCGTAGATTTGTTGGTCACATACAACGTATGTAACACGGAAGTGCACGGAGTCGCGGCACGGCTTTCCGTCCCACTCTAAACAAAACTCCAAGGACATAACAAAACTCCCCAAAACTGGTCAATAATTAGCCATAAAAATGTTTGTGGGCACATGTAAATATGCTGCCTTTTTTCGAGTGTTTTAGGAATTTTCCGCGATGTTTTTGCACATCCCTAATGTTACCTCACGCCCGCCGCCTATTATGTAAATACCGGGGCATTTATAACTTCAGATCATCTAGGATTGCATATTCGGTGGTAAAATAAGCAAACAAACCGAGAAAACAGCAAAATAAAGTTGACAAACTATAGAAACGCTTACCTGGGCAACAGTGACAAAAGAAAATGTCGATCTAATTGATGCGCCGGTGATTTAAAACGTTTTAAACATAGTAAAATGCAGGCTAGATCAACGTTCCTTCCGCTGTTCCAGCGGTGTGTATCGGTAATTTCCCGCCCCGCATGAGGCAAATTAGTACTCCTCCCATTATTCTGTGACGTTACCGTGGCCTGCATATGAATGCAGAAGTCTACATGTAACGAAAAAGTAACAGAAAACTAACAAAAGAGTAACGGAAA